AAACTTCTGATTAAAATAGGATCAAAATAAAAAAACCAAAAGTAACGAACCCTTCTTGCGGAGTTCAGGTTTTCCTTTTTTGACTGACGCAACGAACATATCACCAACACCAGCACTTGGCAATCGGTTCAAACGTCCTTTAATACCATATACGGCAATAACGAATAGATTCTTCGCACCGGTATTATCAGCACAGTTCATCACCGCACCAACCGGCAAACCCAAAGATATGCGAAATTTCGCTCCAGATGCTCCTCCACGTCCTCTCTTTGACATTTTTGTTCACAATTTAACAAATAACAACCCTTAAGCATGTGTTTTGAAAACCGAACAAAGTGATATAAACGATCACCGCAGAATCAGTCACTTACTCGAAAAATAATCAACGAATAGTTAACACAAACTGAGTAGCAATCAAAGTGAGAACATGTACTCAACTTATACTGCCTAAACAGATGCTGCCGACTCTATAGCCCATGAGCATAGAAACTCAGAAATTTTATGAACTACATTTCATAATATTAAACCCTTCTGCATCCTCTTGAAAGACGAATTCCTCTGCTACTCAACCAATAGGACAGTTACTCATGCANCTGCATCCTCTTGAAAGACGAATTCCTCTGCTACTCAACCAATAGGACAGTTACTCATGCAAAAAAAAAAACAAGCAACGAATTCATCAAAATTAAATGACCAAACACCAAACCATTTAAAAACATGTTTTTAATTCAGTTATATATCAACCTATGACCTCCTCGTTCCGAACACTACAAATCTTAAAAACTTACAAACTCGGCACTGGAACTTTCATAGCAAATTTAAGCAGCCAAACATTGGCGTTTTTCGATTACTTTTGACGAAAGGAACCCATCGAACAAATCAATGAAAACAGATTCATACTCAAATCCATGAAAACGCATCAGAAATGCGACACACCACACTGTTTTTCGGTTGGATTTCGAGCGAATAAATTAATGTTGTATTTCAGGTTGGTAAAATTACAGCGGCATTCCGTTCGTGCGAACATTTCCTGCTGTGGTCTAACTAAGTAACATATTCAACTGCGAATGTGAACGAAACGACGTTTCGATTTTATCAACCTAAAATACAAAATTACAGCGAACAAAATTCTTGATGTAACCATGGATGATCTCATGAGCTGTTCAAGCCACAATGAGAATTAAAGCCATGAAAAAGTTTAAAAAATTTCCATAAATCAGGAACAAAAACGATCCAAATAGCTGATGAGTGACTGCTGAATGAAAATTTTCGAGGAATACGGTAAGTGCGAACATCTGTAACGGGACCCGAAACATTGCAACAACGCCTCTTCTGGAGCTTTATAATAGTATGGAGGCCAACTCACATCAGTTTATTACATCCACGTAAATATTCACTGAAATGGAAGTGTCATATTTTAAAAAACTGAGGTTTTGAATGAAAATGAGTACGTGCGTCGTCCAAGTCAGTATGAATGAGACATCGTGATATGGCAGGATGTGAACTCGATTAACGAAGACAACACTTCAATTTCGAAGCATTTCTTCATAATCCAAATACTTTCAATCAACAACCCTTCCTTANTTCAATCAACAACCCTTCCTTATCACATTCCAAATACACACAGAAAATCTGAAGAGGTTCGATTTCGTCATCGAATGCGTTACATAAACGTCTAACATAGGAGCCTCCACAGAGTGGAATTCACCCATTTTTGAATAACTTTGTGTTGCTAGGGGGAGAGGTAACGGGGGGAATCTGGAAATTAGGGAAATTAATTCCGACGTTATGCGTAGAAATAATAAATTACTGCGGCGAGAAGAGAGAGGGATAACGGTGGCCTGCTAGACCATCGAAGGAGGTAATGGAGCATCCGAGAGTAGGGACCATTGCTCTAAGATGTCATCATTTCAAACATACTTCGGTTCCAGGAAATCCACGGGCATCGAATAACTGTGCTAATCACGATCGTTACTAGGATTGTGATATAACAGTACGGTTACTAGAAAGCATTGTGATACACTCAACAACTCAATCGTAACTGACATACGAAGTCATTTTTATACAAATTTATGCTTGTTTACGGTTAGCATATGTGAAAATAGTGAACGCTTTTGGATGAATGAAATTTTTGCACACGGAAAGAACAAACTGCGACCAATTTGCTGAAAATCTCATGAAAACACGAGCAGAGCATTCAAATGATCGGAGCGATGAACAGGATAAAGAACCAATGAAAACTGTATCCGGTTCTATTGGTCTCAACCCACAAGATCGTAACATACAACTACATCAGACTTAGAAGTTGTCTGCGGTCGGCCTCTTTCACAACGAATCTTCAACATATAAGTTACAAGTATGTCATCATCAATAAGTAGTTGAACATCAATATCTTCCTCGCCAATCAGCATTGTTTAAAGCACAGTGAATTAAACAACTTATTTGGTGAATTATGACTCGATGAAAGCTAATGTGCTATTCGGTTCGCAAATCTATTCTATCAACAGCACCATCAACCACAAACTTCATTTGATGATGTGTTACTGGAGCAAAACGCTGAGATGATGTTCGATGAATTGGACCGAATGCAGTCAAATCAGAACAGAGGTAAACAAATAAACGAATCAAATCAAACACAGAAACAAATATTTCGAGTCAGCTTCCGATTGCGAAAGCAAAAATAAAGCGTAACTAACTGAATTTGATTACAAGATGGATAGACAAGCGGAAATAAATAAACAATATAAAGCATACAGCAATAGCATTCACTCAGTCCTGTATCACGACGTTCCGAGATTACTAATGGATGTAAAAAGGAAAAAATGAAGACAGATTTAATTTCAGTGCATTGAATTGTCAGATATACATGAACGAATGACATCACCAAACGATAAGCTTAAAATCTATCGAAAAGCACATAAACTGGGTGAAGGATAGACTTGGACAAGCAGTTAAATTTTAA